AAGATAGAAGAAGGGAACAGGGGGGAGAGCCTTCAGCCAAAAGGGCTAATGGGCGTGGAAGGGCAGCTGCCTGTGTAACACCCCCCCCCCCCCCCCCCCGGCGGAAGAGCACTGTGTTGAGCAGCTTTCACATTAAATGCCGCCGGGCGGAAGGAGCCAAAGGGGGGAGGAAGGGAAGGAAAACAGGTGAGGGAGGGGGCGAGGACGGCTGAGAGCTGGCAGAGGTGAAAAGTTTAACAAGCAAAGCTGTTCCTCCTGATCGCAGGCTGCCTAATCAGCGTCATGGGTGGCTGCCCAAATCGCCCCCCCCCACCTTTTCTCTCCGTCCCCCTCCTTTTTTTTTTTGCCCCCTCTGCAAGGTGCAAGTCATTTCTTTTAGTGCCACTTTGGCCGGCGCTTCTGTGCCCCCTCCCGCTCTCTTGCGCGGCCTCTTCATTTCCACATCTCCTCTCGGCGCGGCAGGGAGGAAGTGGACAAGGCGGGACTACGGATGGGGGGGTGGGGGGCGGTGGTCTCTATCGAAGCAAAAGTCATGTTTCGACCAAACGGTACCACTCGGTTCAATGGGACGCGCTGCCGTTCCCCGCTGCACGTTTGGTACGCCGACAGAAGGTTGCTCAATTTTTGGACCCCGCCCACTTCTCCGTAACTTTTCCTTTTTGGGCCAACTGATGACTTTGATGAGCTGTTATTTTGGTCTCTCACCCACCAGTCCATTTCAGTACCAGGTTACTTTCGTAGGCAGTTATTGTGGTACCTCAATGCTCAATTTTTGGGGGGTGGGGTGGGGGCGGGGTAACCTAGCTCCCGGCGCACTTTCCGTATAATGGCGCCGGGCTATTTAGGGAGCCAGTTCTTGTGGTGTCCAGCTAATGATAGTGCCTGGCTCCTTTGGTACCTGCTTACTTTGATCCCGTTTTGGCATGGCGCTATTTTGGAAAGCGGGTATTCTGGTCCCCGATTTATTTTCAAACCCGGATGCACCGGTGGCTGCATTTGAATGAGCTTCTTATTCTGGTATCTGGTCACTGTTATTTTTGCGCTGGTGCCTGGTGATTTCAGCGCCGGTTCTAACCAATTATTACGGTCACGCCTTTGGTCCATATTTTGCGACCCGGTTCTTCCTCCGTGCCCGGTTCACTTTTGCCGCTGGACTCTTTCACTTCCGGTTCGTTTTGCGCCTTTTCATGATTTCGGAGGCCTAATTGAGTTCTGTAGTCCGTTATTCTGGGACCCGGTGACTTTGGAACCGGGTTATCCACGCGGCAGGCGCCCCCGCCGAAGCCGATGTAGGTGCAGGAAGTCTCGGCTTATATGTATGTCCGGCCGCAGGTGAATACAGGGCTCGATTGTCCCTTCCGCCATTTAATGGAAGACCGGCTTACTGTTCTGCCCGCCACTTGGAATCCCGAACAAACCGCGTTCGTCCAAATGCGAAGAGACACGGGGAGTCCGTTTCCCACCGCGGCCCCGCCGGTCCGCAGGAAATCGAGAGTTATCGGCTCGCTCTCGAGGGTGCGCTCCATTTCGAAACCGAGGCGTGAGCAAAACGGCACCCGAGGCGAGGCCTGCGCTTTGCTGCGACGGAATGAGACGGATGCAAAAACGCGTTGGTGTGAATCAACAAGTGCGCCGGGATAGAGGAAATGTGTGCCGGGGGAAACGTCAGCCCGAGTTTGGCGGCAGCGGCGGCGACGGCTACTCCTGCTCCTGCAAAAGATGGGAAGGGTTGGGGAGGGGGGAAACAGGCGCTCCTGCGCCGCGCGTGTGAGCGAGAGCGAGAAATTAAAATTCATGACTCTCTCTTCACAACCATTGCAGTAACAAGATTAAGATGGCGGCTTGGAAAATAGCGGCGGCATTATCAGGCTGCTTGCAGTCCCTGCAGCTGCTTGCCTCTCTGGTCCACAAGCGCGGGGATAAGAGGATAAGGCGCCGGGCCCGCGCACGCACCAGCACACACGCTCGCGCTTACAATTTGGAGGCTTACTTTTGCAACTAAGAACGCAAGCTTGCGGGCCACCGCCATCGTCACAAAATACACACACACACACACACACACACAATAAAGTAGTAGAAGATGAAAAAAAGATGTGTGTCTGAATATGTGACAAGTGCTGCATATCTATCAGGTGGGGCTTAAGGAGCCAGAACCGACTTGTTGTAATAACTGTGTCCATGGGACCCCCCTGACTGTTCTGCACCCACACAAAAAAAAAAAAAACCCGCCCTCCTGCTAGGAGTGTGAGCTTTGGGTTAATTGTCAAGCGGGGAGGTAAACTTGTGTGTGCAGGGGTCCCCGTTTGCCCCCACCACCTTCATCCCTGCTTCAAGTTACAACTAATTCCTGGAGCGGGGCGGCGAGGGAAGACACCGCTATCTCATATTAAGACGCGCGCCTAGACGACCCATCAACACGCTCCATCCCCCGCACCCGCCCTTTCGCACATATATTCACAAGCTCGCCTTACAGTGAACACAGAGAGGAAAAATAGTGAAGAAGAAAGCCTAAGAAAAAAGGGGAAATAGTCAGCAAGCAAGAATTTTTTTTCCCCCCCTACCCTCTCTCCCCCTCTGATTTAGCGCGCTTTCCTCAGAAAGCTCCATTGTTCCCCTCGCCTAAGTCTCATCAGGCCTTTTGTGGCTGACTATCACAGCGGCAGGCAGAGAGCTGGAAATGTATAAATGGTATCATGCCTTCTGATTAATGGCGGTGCTTATGAGTCAGGTCTGATAACGGGCCTGCTCTCTACTCAATTTCAGATACCGTTAATGGAATCTGTCTTCTGCGATTGTAATGTGAGAGCGCCTAATTTGCTATGGAGCTTGAAGCTGTCACCGGCAAGGGATTGTGGGGTCATAAGGGACCTGGCAGCCGTTTGGCCTGCAGCTTGTATCTGCCGCGCTGAATAGAGCAGCTCTCTGCCTGTCAGTTAGCTGATAGGCTGATGAGGACTCTAAGCCACTCCACACAATGGCGGAAAGGGCCATACTGCCTGACTTCCCTAATTGTCGAGCCCGCTCATATTTCCGAGCCAGCGTGCAGGGGACCGGGCTGCCCACCCCCCACCCGTTTTTCTTTTGCCCCCTCTCTCTCTGTTTGAACTTTTTTCCTGCTTTAGTTCCTCCTTCATCCGGCACACTGTCTCAACCCTTTAACACACATTTGACTGCACTATTTTGCACCACCCACCCCTCCTTCCTCCTCCCATCATTTGTCACCTCTCTCTTCCCTCTGTCTCTCATTTTAGTAAGTGGTGGGTCTTAGCGCATGACAGATTAGGCCAAGTTTGCTTCAATTACAGCAAAAAGGATGGAGACATTACAGGAGAGGAGGAAGCGGAAAACTTTTTTGCACACATTATATTTAAGAAGCTGAGGATAAAGTGCCATCATGACCATGGCATTTTTTTATGCCGTTCTGTTTGAGATCAACTAGCTTCTCTGCGAATGGGCGGTGGTGGGTTATATTTCTCATTTGGGCCAATTCATGGAATGTTTTTCTAGGTCTGGACTGTAATGAAAAGATTGGAATGCAAAGAGTGGGCATCAGTTTTGGGGGTTTTAACTGCACAACTTCAATGTGAAACTGCTTTTTTCTTTTCATTTGTGCCATTGTTAAGGAAAAAGGGACAAAAACTTAGGGCACGTGCACAAGGAAACAGAGCTGGATTCATTTATAAAACAATTCTCGTGAACCCTGAATTGCATATGTGCGAAATGTATATCCACATGGAAACGCTTAAACACTGTCGTTTGCTATATATGCCTGGCCTGTGTGTAATGCTGCCGGAGACCTGCCACAGGAAGTCACCAAAAAAAGAATAATAAGCAGTGCCATGCAAACATACTCACAACAATGGCAGTGAATCATGCCTTTACGCATCTGTGACAAAAAAAAAAAAAAATTAGGAAAGGCCACTCCCCAAATTCTTTCTCCAAAAAGGGGAATGAATACCTTTTGTCCAAATTTTCCTTCCTCACCCGCACTTCATTTAATTCAATACCGGTAATTTAATTCCACTTTCCATTCCAAGTTACGTACAATGCTCAACATAAGTACACTCTAACACATTTGAGAAAAACTTGAGAATTAATATTTTCCACGGCATACTGTTTGACAGCATACAATGGTCTCACAAATTAGGACCATTGGTTGTAAGTAAAATGTGCCGTTGTGTGTATACACACGCACACACACACACACACACACACACACACACACACACACACATTAAAAAAAATAAAATAAAACAAGATAAGGCCATTAGGAATTTCCCAGGATGGATGAAAATGTGCGCATTAAAGAAGATCCAAAACGTTGGGGAAGGTGAAGCAAAGGGAGCCAATAGCACACCAAGTGAGAATCCTTTGGGGCTGCCGCTGTGACTTGTTCGGGCTTTTTGGTTTTCCTTCTTCCACAGAATCAAGCCTTTGCGTTTGGTTCTTTGATTGTCCGAAGCCGACGTGACGTGCAAATTCACAGTGTGTGTGTGTGTGTGTGTGTGTGTGTGTGTGTATATTCCACTGCAGGTTGTGATATTGTCCTGTTGTGTTTCTTGGCCCTCCCACTGCAAGTAAACACGTCTCGTCAAGGAAAGCTAATCTGAAGTGCAAATGAGGAGCAGCTGCTCATTGGCGCGCACCGTGTGTGTGTGCGTGCGTGTGTGTGTGTGTGTTTTACCCGCGTATGTTTGGGTGTGATATCATCACGTGGCACGTTTGCGTGTCATGTCTGGCCAATTTGCCTTCGAAGTGATGTCTGGTCTGTGCGAGCTGGTGATATCACTTTTTTTTTTTTTTTTTTTTTTCTGTCACTGTGTGTCCAAGTGTGTGGGGATGGTCAGTCTGGGGCCATGTGCGCGCACACACACACACACGCACGCACGATTGGATAATATATATGTCCACCGCACACACATTCTTTCAGTGTGTTTATCAGAAGATAGACAGAGGAGACTTTATCACCTTCAGATGAGAAGGGGGACACTCCAAGTTGTCCTCATTTTTGTATGCGGCACCTCACCTCCCAGTGTGTGTGTGTGTGTGTGGGCGTGTGTGTACACGCGCGCACACTTTGATGTAATCCCGAGCAATTCGTTGCAAAGTATTTCCAAACACTTGTAGTTGCACGAAAAGGTCAGCTTCAACCATTATAATCATTAGCGACCGTATTGCTAAAAACAAACAAACAAAAAAAAAAAACACTTCAGACCCGCCTGCAATAGAGGGACTATATGATTTTTTTTTTTTTTTTACATCAACTCAATGATTCATGTGTAAACACACTTTTTAAACCCGTACAGAACTAAACACAAAGGAAATCGCAAGGATAAAATACGATCGTTTTTGAAAATACGATAACGTCTGTGCCTTTAAGAGGAGGAGCCTGGTGGGTGTCATGTGATATCAGTGACACCCACACAACACACACCCGGAGGGCGCAATTGTCGCCGCAGTGTCAGCGGCAATTGCGCCGGCCGGCCCCAAGGGGGCAGGCCGCTGGCCGTCCAGCGGCCACTGTGCCGCGCGATGATGGCACGTGAATGGAGCGAGCAGCGGGACGCCGCTTCTTTTGAACTCAGGTGCTTTCCGCGGCAGGTTGAGGCGGCGGCCGCGCCATTCGATGCCGGATTGAAAGACTTATTGACAACGGAGATGAATGGCACAAAGCGTCGATTGGCTTCCAAATGGCGCTTGAAAATCAAAGAATATGATACGGCTCATCTCGCTCGTTTTTTTTTATTTTTTTTTTTTTGCAGCCAGACCATTCCGTTGCATTTGTTTGTTGGAAGGTTGCTTTCGACCGGTGCCTTGTCTTGTTTCGGATCGGTTAGTTTGGGTTGTTTGCTGGATCGCTCGGTTTGATTTGTTGCTCGAGTGCTGTCGATTCCTCCACCGGCCATCGAACAAATCACCACGACGCGCCAGTGCCTTTTTTTTTTTTTTTTTTTTTTTTTTTTTTCACCCATTGGCGGAAAGCATAAACGACGGCGGTCGTACCTTGAGATGCACGTCCCACACCTGCGCATCGTACTGCCGGCGCTGATCCACCAGGAGGCCCGCCTGCCCGGCCAGCCGACAGAAGCTCGCCATGGTGTCGCCTCGCTGCGGGGCCAGCGCCAAGGCCACGCCCTGGACGGGAAGAAGAGCGTCAACGGCAAGTTCACGCGCGCAGTCGCTCCAACCGCCGTCGGAAAGCCGCGCGGCCTTTTCATGACCTCAACGCGGCAAATCCGAGCCGCGCGCAAACGTGCTCGAGAGCGTCTCAGCAACCGCCCGCGGAATCCGACGTGCGCTTGGGAGGAAGAAAAGAGTGTTGGGGTGCGCGCGCGTGGCCAAGTGACGTGCGCGCGCAGCGGCGACCTCCGAGTTTCTTTGAAATCCTCCGTCGTGCAGTTTGATTTCCCGCCGATGGTGTTGTTATCGCGCCGATGAAAGGGAGCGCGGGGACGAGCGCGCACAAAGAGCCAAATTAGCACCCAAGCGCGGGAAGCGGCGGGGCCGCTCGGTTTTTGGGCCTCGTTTTCTTTGATCCAAACGCCGCGCGTGAGCCTCAGCCAGCCGCCAATGACAAATCAAACACCCCGACAGCCATCTCGCCACCCGCACGGCGCACTTTTGTCACAAACAACCGACGAGGGCAAAGTGGGACTTGTTTGACGAGCTGAGCAAACGATTCCATATTTGGCCCAGGGCCTCGGTGGCAGCAAGCTTTTGTCCGACGGACGCCCGCCACTCAAATCATCTGAGCCGCCCAATGATCTTGGCAGGATTAAAGCGGGAGATGTGTATCTCTTTGCCGAATACCGGAGATGGCGACAAGGCGCGCAGACGGAGGACAATGATGGCGCGCCGGTGACAAAAACGCTTCGAAACGCGGACCGAAGCTTTGGGGCTTTGTTTCCGAGACCGCCATCGATCGGGCACGGCTCCCCCGCCGTTGGCCCGCCACTCAAATCATCTGAGCCGCCCAATGATCTTGGCAGGATTAAAGCGGGAGATGTGTATCTCTTTGCCGAATACCGGAGATGGCGACAAGGCGCGCAGACGGAGGACAATGATGGCGCGCCGGTGACAAAAACGCTTCGAAACGCGGACCGAAGCTTTGGGGCTTTGTTTCCGAGACCGCCATCGATCGGGCACGGCTCCCCCGCCGCTGGGCATCTTGCAGAAGAAAGCCGGCGCAC